TTGATGTAGTGGCGTATTAATTGGTTCAGGTCCTATATTTAAAATTAAATTTGCTGTTACTGCATTTAAATAATCTTCTACAGAATATTCAGGGTCTGTTCCTGTGAATACCATTAATGGTTTGTTTGATGTTATTGATGATCCACCCATAAGGTATGGATTCATTGTCATTTGTAATGATTCTGCTGCATTTGGCATTTGTGAAAAATTAGAAAGTTGATTTTTTGTTATTTCGTGTTGTTGAAGATAATATGGAAGTGGTATTTCATTTTGCATTTGTGTTGGTTGATATGAGTGTGTAATCATTGGGTTTTGTGGCTGAATTGGTTGAAAAGATTGTGTATTAATTGAGTTTTGCATTTGTATTGGTTGTTGATTTTGTGTATCTATCTGGTGTGGAGAAAAATTTCTATGATGTGTATATGGTTTCTGCATTCCTTGTCCGCGATATTCTTGGGTATATGGTGCAAATATATCTGGTTGTAAATGATCATCATCAGAGGATAGGTAATCTGTTTGATGAGGTGCTTGTTTTTTATTTTTATTCTGTTGAAAGAATGGGTAATTTTCACTATGATCCTGTGGAGGATGTGGATTAGCTTGAAAATTTACTGAATTGGTTGTTGCCATTGGATTATTCCAATATCGAGATCTGATTTGATTATTATTATTATTTCGTGGAGGATAGTTTGTTTTTGATGAATGTGTATAATTATAATTATGTTCCGCAAAATTGTTTCTTGTGAATGTTCTGCGTGTTTTTGACGGTAAGGTCATGGGTCTATATGTTTGGTAATCCATTTGTGAATATTTTGGAGCAACCGAAGGTTTAACGGTTGATTGTAAGGTTACCTGTGCTAGCGAAGTGTTTGTATTTCTTGGTGTTGTTAAATTTGGACGTATTGGTGAAATACTTTGTTGTGTAGTTGTTGTTGTTTGGACAATTTCTTCATTTATGAAGTGTGATGGTGTCTGAATATCTTGTTGAGTGAGATTTCTAGTTCCATTAAGGTTTTCATTGTGTATGACGGTCGAAATTAAACTGTTGTTTCGAGTATCAGGTAAAAATGTATTGTAGTTTAATGGTGTTGCGTCAATGGTTAATGGTACTACTCTTACATAATCTCTTATATAAGATATTGTACTTATTGCTTGACTTGCAATTGATTGTGGGATATTTATAAATGCATAATGAGACCATTCGGGGTCCCAAACGTAGTCTGACTGTTCTGTGATGGCGGTATCATCGTTTGAATTTTGAGGTCTAAAATTTTTTCTTGCTTGTGAAATTAAATCTATATTATGTGTGAAATAATCTATTATAAACCATGCCAAAATTTTTTGTAAGTCATGTTTTGTATGTTGTGAAACATCATCTTTAGTGAAATTTTCTTTAATTATATTTAGAAAAGATGAAAATAGTGTGATTTCATGTCGTACCCTTATATGTTTAGATGTCTCTGTCGGTGAGACATTTGAGATTGGGATTTCGTTTTCTAATATTGAGATATAACTATATATTATTGCAAAAACTTCATTAGTAAATATGGAGTTTGCTCTTTGTGAGTTATGATATTGTATGCTTTTTATGTATTCTGAGAATACTTTTGAAAATTCTAAATCAAGGTCGTCTGTTTGAATTACATATTTGCGGTGATTCGGATTTGGTGAGGTGAATTCTATGGTGTAGATTCCGTAGTGTTGTGTCAAATTACATATATCTTTCAGATAGTGATCAATAATTTGTCTTTTGATTTTTACATCTGGGAACTCTGTTTTACATGGGCTGATTCCGGGTTCAAACAAGTTTAGTAGTAAATTCTTGCAAAGTATGTGCTGTCCTCTATCATTGGGTGCATCTACGAGGAAGGGGAAGATATCGTCATCATCTGGACTATCTTCACTTGGAGTGTGTGTTTGGCTCATTTTTTCGTTTAATGACTGTTAATAGGTAATTATCGATGTGTCTAATTGGTTGATTCCAGTTATATAAGTGTACTGGTTTGTGTTTATATTGCTTTTTTATTCGTCTTTTTCCTCTTTTTGATGAATTTGAAGTTGTTTCTGAGTCGGAAAAATATAATTGATCGTGAATGGGACAATTTTTATCAATTGATTCTTTTAATTTATAAAGTTCGTCTAAATTGCTGGCTTCTGATTCTGAAAATGCGTTTCTATTTTTGGAAAATCTTTTTCGTGTTATTTGTCTTTGCTTAGTTATTATTTTTCTTTTTAGTGTTTGTCGTTTTGTTCTAATATATCCAACTGTTTGTGTATGAGGTGTGATTACAAGATCGTATTTTTTGTTATCTATTTCACAGTTGTGTAAAACGATTGTTTGTTTGTTTCCTAGACTTTTAAATGACATAAGGTTTAGGATGACGGATGCAAAAAGTTGTTAGATGATTTCTATTTTCTTAAATTGTTAGTCCTTACGATTTTTTGGTTAGCGTAACCTGGGTCTATTTGTTCAGGGTTGGAGAGAAAAGTATATCGATTCCGAAGAATGATTTTTTACTTTCTCGTGGCTAGTATAAGCTAAGGTGTTAACTTACTTAATCTTACTTAGGGGTAGTGATTGTGTTCAAGGGTTGGAGAATAGTAAATCGATCCACAAGGTTCAGGTATAATTAGAACGCGAGTAGTTCGTTAGATACTATTTCAAACTTACTAAGCCTAAGATTTATCCTGGGTTTGTTAAGAGGGGGGATCAAGTGAAGGATGAATAACCGAAGTTCTTCACTGTTTATCCTAATTTGAATGGTTAGTTTTGTTGAAAAATTTCTATTAGTCTTGGGTTTTTAGAAAGGGTTGGATAGTGAATCGACGTTTCAGGTCGTTAGACACTAGTTAAGTGGGTGGGGGAGAACAAAATTGTTCTTTTTGATCCAAGGATAGGCCTTGATGATCAAGTTTTAAATTTAATCAAATAGAAAATGAATTAAGATCCAAGGATAAGCCTTGATGATCTGATTTTAAGTTTAAATGATTTTAAGTTTAAAATGATTTAATTAGTGAGCTTATGATTGCTGTTATGTTTTAGGTGATGAAGCTGGGACAATTGGATGATTTATGATTACTAACAGTTTATTGTCATGCTACTAATTTTTATTTTGATTTTTCAATAAATATTTTCCAAACATGTTTTATAGAATACTGCAGAATTTTAGAAAAACCATCTGAGATCTTTTTATCAATCGTTATTGTATATTAATATTTTGTTTAGCGCCTGAAATGATCATGAAGATTGACTTCAAGATTTAAGTTTGCAAATGAAAATCTAAATTCATTGCTAATAAGATTCTAAATATAAAAGTTTGTGTTGGCTTTTGCCGTACTATCATATAACTATTTGGTAAGTTTCTACTTTGTCGTATGTCGTCTCTGGTTCGAGGTCTTCTTCCAATTCCGGGTAGTTCTCTTATCGTTCGGAATATTGGCTTTGATCTATTGAGTCGTAGAGACATTTCGATTAAATTATCGTCGTGTAACATTTTAAAAATGTTTTGTCTAAATTCTAATCTATGTTTGGTTAATTCTAAGCTATTAAGGTTTTGTTCGAGACTTATGGTCGCACCAGATGAGTTAGGACCGATGTGGTTAACTCATAGAGTAATTTCGGATAGGGTACACCGTCTGCTCGTCACGCTATCTTATTTTCGGCCGGATAGATTCGTGCAACTTCTTAGTCTAATACCGATCCTAATCTTACTCTTATACTATCTAGTCTCAGGTTGTTTAACTAGTCTCTGCTAGGCTCAATAGATCTAGGGTATACTGGTTTATTGCGGCTGCTGAAGTCTTCTTGGAGAGTCAACTAATTTCTAAGTTAAATTCAAATCTCTCTGGTGCTGAAATTACAAGTAATTCCAGCACTTACAAATAAGTGGGTTGTTAGTTTGATGGATCATGATTGGTTAATATTAAATACTTTACAGTGGTAAAATATCTAATTTATCCAATCATAAAATGTAGTTTAGATCAGGTTCCACTGAGTTTGTTTCTGGCATCGCAATATTGTTTTTCGGTATCAAAAGAAAAACATTTTTCAGCTGTCGAGAATTGATAAAGAAAGATGGTTTTCTTGAGTAGAGATGCATGTTTTTGGTAAACCTTTTGTAATAATAATCACCTTTTACAGACAAGTTGACCAAATTTCAAGAAATCAACTAAAAGACTGATTTGTCAGTAATTCATTTACCAAACTTGAGACCAATTAAAGGGCAATCGGACATTCATGGCTTTACCCTGTCAGAGCAGTCCTCTTGTTTTTACATTCAGACCTGTTTTACAATGAAACCAGCGTATGGGTTTGGAAAACTTGCAAAGCAAGTATACGGGCACTAGACTAAAATGCAGTTGGCTGAACTGCTCGATTAATGTTTCATATTTTCAATAGGCGAATTGTTCATGCGTGGCAATTGATCTGAACTAATAATTGGGTGGGGCCAACTAGATGGTTATATTAATATGCCTAAAATTTAAGCATTTTATTTTGATATTGTTCAACAAAAAATATTTGGGACCAATTTAGAGGTAGTCGGATCATTCGGGGTTTTGAAATGATATAGCAGTTTTTTTTCTGTTTTATTATGTTTTCCATTAACTTTTTTGGTTTTGGGATCTTATTTGTTTTGAGCAATTTTTTTGATGATTTATGGCTTTTAGGCACTTCAATTGATATTAAGAAGACGCCGGAAAAGTGTTTGGTTCGAAATTCTCAGTCAATCAGAATAACGTAAACCCTCAAGCAACACTAAAGCAAACTAAATACAGGCGCAGAAATTTGGATGTTAACTTAAGAAAAGCTCTATCTTCTGTGAATATGGCGCATTTCGCACCAAACACTTTACCCCATTTTGTTATGGGAGTTTGAGTGGAAGATGTGCCACTACAAGTAAGAGATGCAAAATGTGTGCAGACCATTTTATGCTAAACTTTTTCGTTATAACTGAAAAAAAAATTTTTTTTTGCTTCAAGTTACTTTTTTCGCGATCTAGAACAAGAAATTGTTGCGTGGGGTGTGTGGTGCTGGAAGTCTGCGGCTAGTGGCATTCACAGACAGGTACGGCTACTGTCCCGGAGAGACCATCTACATCACAGTCTCCTGCACCAATAACTCACTATTCACAGTCAGAAAAGTTGTCATCTCACTGCAACAGGTACTAACACGCCCACTACAAGGGTCGGATTTAGGGGGGGGGGGGAGCACGGGGGGGGGGGGGGGCGGAGGCGGCGGAGGTGGCGGACGCTACTATTCAGGGATTCGACCCCCTCACCATCCAAAGGTCCTCCCTCCTCTTTGGTATTATTTTGTGACAACCATTTTCGCCCGACCAGCCCTAAAACTTTTCTAAGGGTGCCGTGGGTGCCAATTATATAATAATTTTAAAGGGGAGCGCGCCCAAAAACGGCATGTTTGGCGTATTTTTTTTTTGAAAAAAAAAATTGTGAGAAAATTGTCGACCTTAGAAAATCGTCAACAAAAATTTTGAAAAGTTTTTGACAATCCGACCCCTCCCCTCAAAAAATCTCAAAAATTTTTAAAAAATCGGAAACTTTTTTTTGATCTTTCGTAGTTTTTTCTTCGAGCTTGAGTTACGCAAACATCTGCGGTCTGAAAATAATTTCAAGTACTATTTGCTACCAAATATTGTGATAATTTTGACAAATTCGAAACAGGAGCTCATTTAATCAGGTGAATATTTTTTCTCAAACACTTGTTTTTTTGCTTGTTTCCAGGTAAAATGAAAGATTTAAATAAAATAAACAGATGCACGAAAATTCTAATGTTTTCCCCAGCTGGTGATGTACACTTCATCGACTGGACATCGGAAGTGTCAGTGGAACTGTCTGCTGTCCTCCACAAAGGGGGGCTGCTCCAGACAGGGGGGAGTGTTTGGAGTGAGTCATCTGCCCCTCCACATTCCCTCCATCCCCATGACCTGTGGGGAACACAAGTGCAGATGCATATCCACATCCTATTCCATAAAGGCAAGTCATCTCTACTGCTAACAAATACGGTTGAAACTTGTCGCAACTATTATAGAAACTCGAGAGGCTAGGGTCTATAGCGGGCATATAGAACTTATAGAGTCTCTAGAAAACTCAAAAGTCAATGGTACGACCCGTCAAGTTTTACAAAGAGCTCAAAAACGAAGACGTTCATATCTGTAGTCATAGATGGCATTGAATCCACTTTTGACAGATCCACTTTCTAAAATCACTTCTTATTAGTACCATTGCGGCCATGCTGAAGTTAGTATGTGTTTCAGATCAAGTTCCGGATCCGTAAGGGGCTGGCGTATACGATTGATTTGCCAGTGGTGATCGGCAGCATACCAATCAGCATTTTTGCATCCCTCAAACACGGAATTATTCATCGTAAGGATCGGAATATATTCAAATTGGATCGGCTTTTCGCAGCAAAGAGCAATTTAAATAAATTTCATTTTGTGGCAAATGAACATGAAACTTCTGTGTTAATATTTATTTTGAAAAAAAAGCTGTCAATTTTGAACCCTTTCTGTCTGTTTTTGCCCCATCAGCCCGCCCCACCCACCTCGAATGTGTGATGAAGGGGGGCAGCATAGAGGACGATGATGACGTCACCAACGCATGTCCGGGAGACGCTTGTCAGTTGCACTGCTTCACCCCCGCCTACACCTACTACGACTGGAGGGGACACTACCCCGCCCCCCACAAACTACCCTACGTCATCACCGGAAACAAACTCCTCAAATATTGATGCGCCGAAAATTAATACGATGGAAAAAATGCATCCTTTTTAAAAATCTGTGTTCGATCCGTTCCTACTATTATATTTTATTTTTATTTCTCATTTCAAAGTACATTGCGACTTTTTTTTATTAAAAAAGAAATATCAGGAAAAAGTTTGCATTTTCAGGCATATACAATTTCAAGAGCGAAGATTTTGATTTTTCTGAACCAAAGTAGAATTTTTCACGTTGTGTTTCGTTTTGGTTTCATTAAGTACCTTCATACTATGAGTTGCATTCATTTGCGTTATCCTTGAAAAAAAAATTTGGTACGAGGGAATGGAAATGGTTTATCCAAGAAATGATCTAATTTTGTAAAACGCTTTTCCAGAATTGCATACTCTACTTGACAAAACCTACGAGAAAAACAGGTTTTTGTTCTTTAAAACACTTGCTTTCAAAGATTTTTCTGAAAAAAGAGACTTCAAATAAAAACAAGTTTTTTTCATAGACCACTATAGCAAATTATCCTAGCTAACCCTCTTTGAATTCGCGCAAACTGAATTGGTCTTTGTGAGAACGTTACTAAAATTGACTGTTTCATATTGTCGTGCAGTGCACAAATCCTAGTGCACAGGAGAAAAATTGGCGTTATTAGATTCGGTTTAAAAATTTTAGGAGCAAAAACCTGAACTTATGTTTTATGATATCCACTGGGGTCTTTTAAAACCAAAATTTTATCTACAGTTTTCACTTTTTGTCATGCATAACTTCGTTTGTTTGATATTTTCAAAAATTTCAACGTTCTTTATTCATCCGATTGCACTTAAATTTCTTTGTTAACCTGAGCTCACAGTTGTGAGACATTTAGTACATTAAGAAAAGCCGGATCCTCATCTTGATTCCATATGAGGAAACGCTTCCAAGAATTAATTATGACCTACAAGGAATAGTTCGGGCGATAGAAAACTTCATATACTATTTTATGACAAAGTATTTAATTGTTTTCGACCAGCAAGCCTTTTTAAGTGCACTAAGCGCATCAAAAAAATCAAAAACATTACAATCGAGGCTAGCCAGAGGGGTTGATAGAATATTACCATTCAGATGCCTTATTCTACATATGGCAGGATCAAACTGGGATTGACTGCCTATTCATTTAAAATTTAAAATCCCAGTCAATCCGATGGTATCAGCGACCGATTCTGATGAAGAATTTGAAGTTGCACAGATTACCGCGTCTATTTCAAAGCTAGAGAATTTGGACAAAATAGTGCTTAACACGAATTAACCACCAAAAACAGAGCAGCAAAAAAATCAAATCACACGAGAAAGGAAGAATGCAAACAATTTGATTCAATCCTAAAGTCACAATTGAATCAGCTACCATTCAAATTCGTCAGTTCAAATAAAACTTAGTCTGAATCAAATTTATATTCAATCAATGTCAAAAAATTGTTCGAATACCAATCTTGGAAAAACAAAAAATTTGAAACGAAGGAGAAAATAACCCTGACTGGAAAAATCAACAAAAAAAAACTATGGAGACAAACAAACGCAAGCGAAGAAAACAGAAGAAGAGAAAACCGGAGGACAAAACCAGCTGGAAGAAAAACACAATCTCACGTTCACTGTAAGAGTGCGCCAGAACTAGAGAAGGCGCACAAAAAACGACACGTGAAAAGGCCAGAGACATAGTAGCAAAAATAGAACAAGACTGTTCCGACTGCCTTTTAAAGTTTATGGAGCAGTAATAACATAAAAATCATTAACAAATTAAATGTAATAAGAAAGTGAAAAAATTTTTTCTTAAAATTTGAAATTTTTTCTATGAAAATCATTCTACCATATGAACTACAAAAGAATAGATTTTGCTCCTTGTAACAAATCAATAATGGCAAAAAAGTTTCTTTCGACCGATTTGGAACGATTTCCAAAACGGATTAAATCTCCGCTTACGCGTTAATAGTGCGAAATATATCGCGCGTTAATTGTCCCAAATTGGCCAAAATGGCAATCTTTAAACCACCATAACTTTACGAAAAACGATCACAGGTGAAATATTGTTTCAAATTTAAGCTCAGGACAACAATACCTTTTGAATGATAAAAAAATTCCATCAAAAATGGCTAGTTAAAAAGTCGAAATTTGTCTGAAGAAAAAAAACCCACCCCGAGCACAAATGTTCCGTTACTTTCGTATCGAAAGTCGGAGCAAAAACTGGAAAAAGATCTGAAAAAAAAACAATCGAAACAACAAGCCAAAAAAAACATAACACACCAAATAAATAGAACCAAATTTCATCAAAGAATAACAACAATTCCAAGTGAGGGACAGCTGGGACAAAAAAATTCGCAATAACAACGTATCAAATGCAGACAGCTCAAAAACTTGTATACAAATAGAGAAATAGATTCATGAGGGTAAAAACACTAAGAAGATTGATAGAGAGGTATTCGGACCATGCAAGAGAAATTACAAAAAGATTGTACTCGTCTTGAATGACGACAACCAGACGAAGTGGAAAAAGGCACAAGGGTCAAAGATAAAACTAGCGAGTTGAAACACCAGAACAATTTTTTCAGAAAACCATGACGCCCGCAACAACAAAAACACCAGAAAGGAAACTGGGCCTAACAGCAATTGAACCCGAAAGTTTTATTTCCATGAAGATTAAGTTTACGACAGAATAATGTCAACTGATTTCAACAATTGATAACAACCCAATTCCTATGATAAAAACAAACCAGAGCACGATGAAGGAGGAGGGCGACTCAACCCCACTCAACAGAAGCAAATTGAACAAAGTACTGAGACCATAAACGTCTGGGCGGTTGGTTGGTCGTCGGTGACGGGGTGGTCATCTTGATGCAATTACAAGACACTGTGTCACAGTGTGTTCATCTAACACATCCATGAACAGAGCAGAAGACATATGAGTCCTGCATATCCATCAAGCAAAATAGCAATGAGACAAAATTTCAAGGAGTGCCGAGAGCAAGGTCCTTACCTGAAAGCAGTAATAGACTAAAAAACCCCATTTCGATTTCGACATTTCCAAAGAACCTCACGAGGTGGTACCATTAGAATTTGCAAGACCGACGCCGGATGAACTAACTAAGGACGCATATATACTAATTACATAGATATGTTTGCATAATAACCAACAAACAAGAAGGTATCAAACTCAATGCAGACACTGCACCAAAATTATTGTGGACGTCATACACAAAAACCAGAAAAACTAGGTGTGACAAGAACAAAGGTCTAGGGCTCAAAAGTTTTGATGTAAGGACAACAACTTTAAGTTTTTTTGTACCATCGTACAATCATGGAGCGATTGGTTTAGTAGAACGTCTTATTCAAACGAAAAAGTAAAGCGGGAAGTAGTAAAAAACACCCAAAGAATAAGTCATACAAGCTAGCATCAGATGTGGCAGAACTAATCAAAAGCTTACGGCTGTTACAAAATATCATTGTCTCACACGCTGTTACAAAATTAATCACACGCTGATTATCTACGCTGTTACAAAATATCATTGTTCAACTTGCATATGGGAAGCGCCCAAACAACATTTTTCGAACTTAGCAACAATTAATAATCAGAACAACATGAGTTGGGATAAGGATAAGTAAACTTTTGAATCTCAGACAAGAAAACCTAAAAAGAGCGCTGTTGTTGCCAGAGCAAATACGTGGCATAGACTGCTGGTCCGAGGCTGAAACTGTTAATGGAGCACTGAGAGTTAACCACTGAGAGACAAATAGTGAATCTAGAGAGTGATCAGTTAGAGGACCAAGTTCGAGTTTAAGTTATATACAAACAGAATCCAGGACAAACTTAAGATGACATAAAAATTACCTGAAAAAGTTAAAATTAAAAAATAAGACAGAAGGCCACAAAAACTGTGAGGATAGCACAAAAGGCGTATGACTTGTCCAAGTTCCAATTAAAGTACAAAATGAAAAACTTGAATGAAAATTTTTGTTTGACCCAAATGATTTGAGCTCACCATCATAAGAGCAATATTATTATTATTGGGCATTTAAATTACCAGAACACCTGCACACCCAATGCTTGTCGAAACTACGGAAAAAAAGAGAAGATCAAGAACACAAAATAACCAACCAAGAAATAACGAATGGCACAAGGCACTATTACAAGCAGGAACGCTACAAAGAAAGCAAGTGACGGAGCACAACACACGGCTACCGAAAAACAAGCCAAGCATCAAACACGACACACTATGGGACACACAATGGAGGGAAATTCAAACCAAAAGGCAAGTTCAACTTCAAGGTACCACTCTCGTCGACATCGGACTCGTAGGTATCAACATCTTCAAACAACGGTACAGAACCGGAACTCGAACACAAACGACGAGACATAAAATAAACCACCCCAACGAAGACATCAACACAATCAAGGACGAGTACTATGACAGCCCAGTTTGATAATCAAAATGACAGTTTAAAAGGAAAAAGTGAAATATACCAAAACCTTTGCCAGCCAAAAGGCACTGTTTTTCCAGAGTTAGTTGACACAATGACATCAAAGAGACGGGACAATATTGAAATACAGGCCTATCTAAAATTCCTAAGAGAACAGAGGTGGTCACTAAAATCTCGTCAGGCCGCGAGAAGGGGAAAAGATGGAGCACCAGGAACCAACAGGATCTCGAGGGGGAACGAAAACCAGAGGACGGAGGAGAAAGCGGACGAGAAAGAGCATTCCGAGCAAAAGGGAGCAACCACCAAAGACTATGGCGCAACAGGGTGAAAACAACAAGCAAAGGAAGATAACGAAAAAGAAGAAAATGATACAAATAACAAATAACAGAGAGAGAAGAAGTGTGGGAAAAAGAAAGTGTAACTCTTTATTAAACTTTTTGAAACTCAATTAAATCCGTCCGGATATGTAAGTATATTCAGGACTTGTGATCAAGCAGAAATTGAGAATTCTGTCAAAAAATCAACAATTGTGATGAGCATATAGTTTTCTTGAAAAATAGTTTTCGCCGTTTAGCGATCTGTCAAAAACGACTAGCCATCCCAGATAATACCGCCAACAAGAGCTTTTTATTCACTTTAGTGT